GGGCGATAAAATCCATCTTACAGATTTTTGAGTTGGTGGCGGGTCTCAAAGTTAATTTTCATAAAAGCAAGCTCTTTGGGTTCAATATTAATATTGAAGTGTTAAACTTGATGGCTCAGTTTCTAAACTGTAAGGTTGGTTCTTTACCTTTTTGCTATTTGGGGTTACCTCTTGGGGCAAATCCACGTTGTATCAAAACTCGGGAGCCCGTGATTTCTAAAGTGAAGTAGAGGTTATCAAAATGCAAGTCTTCAACTTTGTCCTTTGGTGGGCGTAGTGTCCTCTTGAAATCAGTCCTTAATTCCATTCCGATCTACTATCTTTCTTTCTTCAAGGCTCCTCAAGGTATAATTTCTAAACTTGAATCTCTTTTTAAACTCTTTCTTTGGGGATGGGATGAAAATCATAGGAAAATTACTTTGGTGGCTTGGCAGGAGGTGTGTAAGGGAAAGGAACATGGTGGGTTGGGAATTCTAGACCTTAGAGCATTTAACCTTGCTCTCCTTGGAAAGTGGAGATGGCGGCTGTTAGTTGAAAATGGTAGGTTTTGGCATAGGGTTGTCACTTCTATTTATGGGGAGGGTTGTTTTTAGGGAGATGGTGATAAAGTAAAAAGTTCAAAGTGGTGGGTTGATCTGTGGACCATTGATTCTGCTCCATACACATCATTTGATTAGTTCTCTTCTAGGTGTACCAAGGTGGTGGGGGATGGTCGAAATACCTTTTTTTGGAAGGATGGTTGGAGTGGTCAGGGACCTCTTTGTAATCGATATAGTAGATTGTTCTCTATAGCTTCTGACAAGGATGTATCGGTCACAAACATGGTGCTTTAGAGGGATGGAGGTTTTGAGTGGATTTCGTCTTGGCGTAGGAGTCTATTTCAATGGGAATTAGATTTATTATCACAATTAGCTGCTAATTTAGGATCAACTGTCTTAAAGAATGATTTTTGTGATAGGTGGTGTTGGAAGGATTCTAATGATGGGATATATAATGTGAAATCAGCATACAAGGCGGTGATTATGATGGTATCTACGCATATTTTCTGCTTCATAAATTTCTCTGGTCTAGTTGTGTACCTTCTAAAGTATCAAGTTTTGCTTGGAAAGCCTTGCTGAATAGGATACCAAGTAAATGTAACTTAATTAAGCGGAAGGTTCTTAATATTTCTGCTAGTGGATGCGCTTGGTGTGGTGAAGTTTTGGAGAATACCTCTCACCTATTATTCGGATGTTATTATGCCTATTCTGTATGGTTATCTATTTTTGCTTGGTTTGGTGTTTCAACAATTTAACACAACTCCTGTCATGAAAATTTTGCTCATTTTATTGGATTTCCTAGATGCAGTGGTAGAGATAGGATGAGGTGGTCTGTGGTTTGGTTAGCCACAATTTGGTCTCTGTGGCTTGCTAGAAATGATGTCATTTTTAAAGACAAGGTGGTGGCAATTACAGGTTTAGTGGAATTAATCAAACTAAGTAGTTGGAACTGGATTAAGACCAACGATAAGTCATTTTTTTACCCATTCTCAGCGTGGTTTTCTTCCCCTGGTATTTGCCTTAACTTCTAGAATAATGATTCTTTTTGATTCTGTACACACAATGGTGTTAGTTTTGTATCTGGTTTTCTAATTACTGAACTTGTTTGATTATTAGACATTTTATGGTCCTAGTTTTGAAATAGTGGTAGACATTACAATCTGGTGATTACCTTTTGTATGGATTACGTTGAATTTTGTTTAGGTGACTTTGTATTTTGTAATGGGTTGGGGTACCCCTTGTACTCCCATTAATTTATTTTTCTTATAAAAAAAAACCAGTGTAACTTTTACTAAGTATTACACTGCTCAATAACTTTATATTAAATGTGAATTTTATAAATTCAACTGTTAGATTGAAAATTTTTACTCTTAGATCATATATACAAAATTTTATATTAATTCAAGATGATTTGATACTTCATTCTTGTAAAACAAAATTGACGTAATATACATTTCAAAATATACTAAAATATGAACGTTTTGATTACCTTCAAGTTGTTCAATTTTAACAAAATTTGATATAAACATATAAAGTGATATAAACTTTTAATCCAACGGTTGGATTTACAAAATTCACATTTAATATAAAATTATTCAGCAGTGTAATACTTAGTAAAAGTTATACCGGTGTTATTATAATATTTCTCATTTTAAAATATATAAATTATTATTTAAACTTTTAAATTTATAATAAATAATTTAAATTGTATCATAATATTAATTTTAAATAGAAATAAGTAAATTGTTAATTATAAAAGTAAGTATATATATAAATCAAGATTAATTAAATATAATATAATTATTATTAGTAATATAATTATTATATATTTATAACGGTTCAGACACACCGGAATGAGAAAGATCCAAAGATAGTATAAGTATGAGATTGTATAGTTGAGAATGACTTAAATGAATTAATTTGTACTACTTATACCGACAACATGTATCTGCTTTTCTGTAACTTATCTCATCAGATCTCCATAGTTAATTCTGCTTCACTTGAAGTAATATAGGGATGAGTGACCTTCTAGGAAGTTTCCTAGAAACTGTGTAAGTAAGGACAAAATATGCTAAAAAGTGAAGTATTATGAAATAGAATCCTTGAGAAGAATAGCAATCGAATTTGAGACGAATATAAAATTTAATAAAATAAAAAATAAACATTTAGTGAATGATTTAGAGGTAGTCAGTGCGTCGCTGAATTTGAGACATCTATAAAATTTAATAAAATAAAAAATAAACATTTAGCGACTGATTTAGAGGCAGTTAGTGCGTCGGGTGCTATAAAGGTTGCAATTCTAATTTGGGATGGTTTGTGCTACGGTTCCACTAACCGTCGCAAAATTCACTCGTGACTGACATTTCTGTGACAGTTGGTGAACCGTCGTAATGGTGTCTTTGCGGAAGTTCTAACCATCGCAATGTAGGCCATATAACTGTCGCAAAATCGTCATTTTCTTGTAGTGCTGGAAGTTACAAAAGGTTTTTATGTTTCTCTATAAATTCATGGATGATAAACTTCCCATCTTTCACCACAAGAGAAATTCTTACTTTACAATTAGTTCTAGTCTCAACTCTATACTTTCTAACCAAAACATCCTTTTGTCTATTAGTCGTAGCCCTTCCTTACAACAAACAAATATGCATGAAGTAACAATACTATCTTCTTTTTTAAAATTCACATATCATTTCCTAACTCCAAAACTAACATGTGCACCATAAGCAAGCCAAAATTGCCAAGCTGCCTCTAAATTATCAAATTCCATATCTACTCTTGGTTTCCAATCAACATTTAAAGATTCCATAATATACTTCCCTTTAGAAGAATGAAAAATAAGAATAAGAAGTAAAAAGAATGATAACTTTAATTAATTTTATATTTGTACATTTTGAAGTATCTCAATTTCATTATCATATAACCATAAATTAAAGAAACGTAAACAAAACACATTTAGTTTAAGGGTTTCAAATATAAGTTATCGAGATGCTACACATGGTCTTTTGAAAAATGAAATATTTTTTCAGAGAATGTCCTTACCAGGATACTACGTAGTGTCTTTTGGTGCTCTACACCAACTACCTATGCAAGGTTTTTTACGGAAGGTGCTTTGCAGTAGCTACGGAAGGTGTTTCATAGCAACTATACTCAATTATGGAGGATGTGCTGCAACAATGATGAGCAATTAATCTCTTTGGATTCACGAAAGTAGTTGAAGGCAAAGATGAAAGGTCAAAGAAGATGGAGCTTTGCAACTATATATTTTGTTTTTGAGAAGCTTTCTCTTTATGTAAAGTTAATATATGTTAAAAACAATTATTGTTCATATGTATCAAAATCTTATTTAATTTTATGATCTAACGGTTAAAATCGTCAAAAGTTATAATAAATTTCACGCTCCTACGTTAGAGAATCCAGATTCAGCTTCTAATACTACAATTGATAAGATTGATGGTTAAAATTTAATATAAAATATAAATTATTGAGTGAAAGTAAATTTGGATAGACTTGTTTTTGGAGTAAGTTTATTTTTTTGAAGGTAACTTGATATCTCCTATATATATATATATAGATAAAAAGAGAAGAAAAATTTACTTATTCCAAGAGTAAATCTACTAGACTCCACTTAATAACTCATTCTTATCAAATTTCAAAGATTCAATTGTTAGATTAAAAATCTTTAATGCATAGATCTAGTCTGCAATTTTAAAAAAAGTGAAAACTATTTAATCCTCCATTTTATATATTCAAATCAACGTATAAAATATTTTAATGATTATTCAACAATTTGAATTAATGAAACATAGTCTCAAATAATTTTTAAATTTTTTTAAAAATTTGCAAATTTGATCTATCTATTAACAACTTTTAACTTAACGATTGAATCGTTAAAATTTGTTATAGAACATAAATTATTAAGTGAAGTAAATGCAAGTAAACTTATACTTGAAGTAAGTGAATCTCTCCTCATATATATATATATATGTGTGTGTAGGGAGCGTATCTAATGAAAATCTTATTATAAGAGATGAGAGAAGTAAATCACGAACTTTTAAATTATAGATAAAAATAATTAATAATTAATATTAAAATTCAATTATAAAGACTCATTTAAAAGATTATTACTATTATCACTTATCCAACTATAAATATTGGTTTTAATATGTAACGAATAGCTAGCTCAGGTTAATTAACTATAAAATTTGAGACAAACGAAATTTATTTATTAAACTAAACAACCTTATAAACATGAGTTTACAGACAGTCAAACACTAAAACAGGAATGAGAAAAATATAAAACTATTACAAAGATTAAAAATAAAAAGAGTATAAGCAACAAAAATCTAAAATCTACTTGGTTTGTGAGAAGACTATTCTCTTATTGTGCCGTGAGTACTTGGTATGTGTAAAGCAACCATCAATAATTGATTATTTTACGTGGTGCACGGTGGACCATTAGTATTACTGAGGATCACTTTCATGGCTTTGAAGCATTTCCAGCACTTGGCTCATGGTGGGTCTTATATCTTTGTCTTCCTCAACGCAATGCAAAGCCACTTTAACCAAAATCTCCATCTTACATTCATCATAATTTGTTTTAATTGCAGGATCAATTATGTGCTCTAGCCAAGACGTGCCACTTCTTTTCTCTCTCACCCAAGTTACCAACCTTCCATTATACGAGTCTTCTCCATCAATGTTTTGGATTGGACTCTTCCCAGTTATCATCTCCAAAAGAACAATTCCATAGCTGTAAACATCAACCTTTGAGGTGATTGCTAAGTTCAGAACCCATTCAGGTGCCATATACCCTCTTGTTCCTCTGATCATTGAAAAACTTGAATTGTTGAGGTTGTTTCTGTTTAGTAGCTTGGACAGCCCAAAATCTGCTACCTTGGGTTCATAACTAGAATCAAGAAGTATGTTTTGGGGTTTTATATCACAATGCAAAATCCACTCCAAACATTCTTCATGCAAATATGCTAGAACTCTTGCCACTCCAAGAGCAATGTTATATCTCTTATCCCAATCAAGTGTGTTGGATGAGAGTTTTTGTGCCAAAGAACCATTCTCCATGTACTCATACACCAACAACCTATGCTTTCCCTCAGCACAATAACCCCACATTTCAATCAAGTTCATGTGGTTAAGCCTTCCAATGATGCTGACTTCAGCAAGGAATTCCCCTTCTCCTTGTTTAGCTTCATAGAGTCTCTTGATTGCAGCATGTCTTTGATCTGATAAAATGCCTTTGTACACAACCCCTCCTCCACCCTTTCCAATCTCTTCACTGAACCCCTTTGTGGCCTTCTTCAATTCAGAATAACTATATTTTCTGAACCTATTAGTCACAACATGGTACCCATTCTGATCTGTAGAAGACTTTTGGCGTGTCCTAACTACGAAAACCCACACAACAAAAATGCAAACGGTTTCAAAACCACCAACCGCAACAGCAACCCAAAGAAAAAATCTCAAAATCCGGCTTACATGATCTCCAGCATACACTCTTGGAATCTGCACAAAACTGTAAAGTTATGGCACAAATTTCTTCCATATTTCCTTTCCGATCTTTTAGCTCTCCATGGTAAAAGAAATCACAAAACAACAAGATGAAAGGTAAAAGAAAGAGATCCTTTGAAGAATCGCGTCCCCACGAGCTCCAAAGTACTTTGTTTTCTCTCTTCTCTCTGTTCTCCTTTTCGTACATACAGTTGATACTCACTTTCTCTCTCTTCTGCCCTTTTATAAGTGATGGAATTAAAACAGAGTAAGCAGGAAAGAGAAGAATCCGCTCAGCGCCTTGAAACGACTGAGCAGTTTGAAGAATTATTCACCATGAAGTAACCTGAAGGGTTGAGCCCCTGAGATCCGCTCAGCGCCTTGGAGATTCTTCACTATTAAGCAAGCACAAGGGGCTGGGCGTTTCAGATCCGCTAAGCGCCTAGGAGGCAGAGACCACTCCTTCTTCTAGGGCCAGATCTGCTCAGCAGATTGGAGTGGCTGAGCGCCTCCAGTTTGGTGCACTTTTGAATGGCTCTCTGGCTTGAAAGCGCTCAGCCCTTTTGAGGGGCTGAGCCATTGTCCTCCAATTTTCAAAACCTACAAAATAAACAAAAAATTTGATCAAAAGATTCATCGCTCCCTGTACTAACATAAATCAAAAGTCCCTCTTTGATTCTGAGTATATATAAACCAAAATTATATCAATATGTACAAAATTGTGTTAGATAAGTGTCTCAAATTCATATTTAATCAAATTAATTAGACACTTATCACCTTTGTTGATAGAGTAAAATAGATTTTGTATATTTCTTATAGTATGAAATGCTATGAGTGAGTTGTATGTACAATTGATTGTACATTGGATGTTGTGATCATGCATATGAAAATCCTTGTTTATAGAACAATATGAATTTTGTACATTTCTTACAAGCATGAGATGTTATGGTGAGTCATGTGTAGGATTAATTGTGTATTGGGATATTATTGAATTGATGTGATGATGTATGTTATGATGAATGTGATGAGCGTGAATTTTTGAGATGTGATGAGATATATTATGTTGAGATGAGATCAATAAGCCCATTATTATGGATTGACAATAAGGAGATGAGTTATATATATTGTATTTGTTGTGATGTGTGTATTGAGTCCATACATACATGTTTTGTTCGTGAGATGGTGTGAATCTATGCATGTGTAATAGGGGTGTTATGATGGGAAACTTCTTACAAAAATAAGACTATCACGGTCAACTATAACACTTCAACAAAACTTTATTACACATCTACTGGTTGAGTCTTAAATCATGATTGAGTTATACTATGTGACTTGATGATTATGAATGATGAAGGAATGTATAGTGATAGTTAGTATTGAAGTATGGAAGAATGATTATATGTGTGAGACGTTATTGATGTGATAGATATGTGCGTATATATGTCTTATATATGTTGTGTATGGATAAAATGTATTCTCACTCCCTATGTTTATATATTTGTGTTTGGGTCAAACGTTACTTGTAGGACTAGATAAAATATAAAGAGGAAATGGAGGTTCTAATAAGTTTTTATTTTAAAAAAGTCATAATAAGATAAAATTAATTTTTATTTTAACTACTAATAAACTAATATTATTTAGGTCCGATCTAAGATGATATAATCCAACCACTCATTAGTTGGTTGTTATTAAATCTTGCAAAAGTCTGTTCAATTTTAAGTTCAAAATGTTTGATCTTTGATATGAGAAAAAAATAATAAAGATATTACATTCATTAATGATAAAATCAAAATAATTTATGTAAACGAGGAAACTTAATTTATAAATCAATTTTGTAGAATTAAATTTATTAGGAATCGATATTTTTAATAAGGTATGAGCATTATCCTGTCGATTGTTTTGTGTAATCTATTTATATAAAATGGTGGACAACATAATAATATAATGTGTCTTTTTTTTTTTTATCAACCGGCTGAAAAATGTTATTAAGAAAGTGTGGTGATTGGAGAGTCATAATGATGTTAAATAAAAATATGCAATTAATATGAAAAAAATGATCGTGCCGATAAAATATTTTTTTATAAAACAAATAAGTTTTTATATAATAAAAAAATAATATTATTTAGGCACATTTTAAAATGGTGTTATTAAGCCACCAATTATTGAATTATTATTAGACTGTTATAGAATTTTCTTATAATCAAGTTGTTTTATTTTATTTATTTTTTTAGGCAAAATTGCATCATAATACTAAAAAAGGAGTATAAGGGATACTCCAACCCATACAAAGCTAAAACATATTAAAATACATTGGTAATAAATCACCAAACACAAACTATTAAAACAAACCATACTTCTGTATGAAAATTTATGCTAATTACAAATAAATTTTCTAAAGCTCCAAAAGCTAATAACTAACAATTCAATACTTGTGACACACCAAAACTAGATACAGCAAACCTATAGCACATGGACGTGGAGATAATGACAATTAAAAAAACACTAGCTAGATACTTATGATGCCAAAATAAGGAACCAAAGTTTGCAAATTATAACCAAAACAACACCCCTTCACGAAATAGCACACACAACAGGTAGCATACTCAACTTAAAAAAAATTAAGACATGCACATGGTTGTGCAGACCAGGAAGAGAATTGATAATAAAAGTTATGATCTTTGGCCTTTAATCATTTCAAAGAGCATAGCTTTATCAGTTCAAGTAGATCTGTTATAGAGTAAATCTTATTGGAAAAAACAATTGCATTCGTTGCTAGCCATAAGCTGCAGAGGACAGTCAACCATATCAAGGATCTCGTGTTTGGGTTATAATTGGCAACCCCAAAAATTGTGCAAAATGAGCAGCGTATGTATTTGGCAAAACAGAAGAAAAATTGAATCATTCCAAACAAAGCATCCATACATTGTAAGCAAAAGAACACTAAAACATAATACGTGATTAAAATAGAGAGGATAATTAAATTAGACTTTTATTGATAGATCACGTGTGCAAGTGAGTGTTAGGATTTAAATTTAAATATGTTAATAATTAAGTTTGCCTCAATTCAAAAATTTGATCATGTATCTTGTGATGTGAAGAAGAAGTAAAACTAGAGACAACTGAAGGGGGAACTTGATAATTTGACTCAAGATTTTAGCATCTATTAAAGTAAGGAGAAATGAGAATATCGCTCTAGAGTGTGTGTTAATTGCTCGGTAGTTAGATTAACTCTCAATCCCTAGGTTGTATGTGTATGTGTATGAGAGGAATTAACATGAACCTTATATGCAAGAGTTCTCTTTTATCTCTTGCATGTCTTGAGTGGTAAAAAAATTATTTTCATTGTATTATTATTTTTGTAATTTAATTTTTTTTTTGGAATATTTTTTTTGCTTCTTCTTGGTGAAGTGAGACCATAACCATGTGTAATCATGCCTTTGGAATCAATGGAAAAAGTTCTAGTATTTTTTAGCACACTTACTATTCTTAATGGGTGTATATATTTATTTTCTAGAATCTAACCTAATGCTATTTTTATTCAATTAAATTACTTAAATACACTACAAGAATTTTACGGATTAGCGAGGGAATTTAGCGAGGGATATAAATCCAAGTTATTCCCTCGCTACTTAGCCAAAGATTCTCTTGACTCCGCTGAGGTCTTCCTGCAGAGGGCGATGGCGATTATGGACCACTGGAAGCATAGGTGGTCCAACCAGCAGGGGGACCTGGAGAAGATGAAGGGCCGAGTCTGGCCTCTAGAGGAGGAGAATTGGGCATTGGGGTTTGCCCTAGGCGAGGCGAAGAGGCAGAACGAGGCCGAGCTTCAAGCCACAAGGAAAGATCTCACAAGGACTCAAAAATCTTTGGAGATCGCCTTGAAGGCTAACGAGGTCTACGCTACGCAAGTTGGCGAGCTTCAGGACCTCTCCACCTTCTCTCGGAGTTGAGTGCATTCACTTGAGGACAAGGTCTCGGCGTTGAAGACCGAACTAGGGGAAGCTGCTGAGAGGTGCCTTTGTGACGAGGTGTTTCTTAGTGGCAAGGAGGAGGAGGTCGCCGCTCTGAGGGCTGACCTTGAAAAAATGGTCGCGACGAAGGCGGAGCTGGAGAGGCGACTCGTCGAGACCGAGCGGCACATTTTGGTGGAGCACAAGAAGGGTTTCGTGAAGGCAACTCGGCAAGCGAGGCTACTTGCTCCTGGAGTCGACCTCTCGGCCATGCATGTGGAGAAGGAGGTGCGCTTTAGGCGGCTAGTAAAGGAGGACGACCTCCCGGACAGCTCGAGTGATAATGCCTCTACTTAGGCCATTTGGGCTTTGTAATAGCTTAGTTCATTTCATGTATTTTCTTTTTGGATTTATATTTTTGAACGCATAAACCTTGTTGTTTATATATCATTTTTCTTAGATTTCGTCTTTGCGCTTTTGATGGTTCTATTTTGACCTCTGGTTTTTGGGCTCATGTGTTACGCTTAGATTTCGCCTGTATTTGTGGTTCGAGAACACACATAAACGTGGCTTAGTTTAAAGTGGTTTGCCCTAAGGTTTGAACTCGACCTCGGGTTGGATAGAGTAATTTATGCTAAGGTTCGAACTCGACCACAACCTGAGATAGAATAATTCACACCAAGGTTCGAATTTGACTTTTGTTTAAGATAAAGTAATTTGCATCAAGGCTCGAATTCGGCCTTGGATGAAATTTTGACCTCGAGGTTCAAGCTCGACCTCAGTGTTAGATAATTCGTATCGATGTTCGAACTCGACCTTGGCCTAAGGTAAGATAGATCGTACCAGGGTTCGAACTCGACCTCGGCTTAGATTAAAATGAATCATACCAAGGTTCGAACTCAACCTCGGCTTAAAGTAAAATGAATCGTACCAAGGTTCGAACTCAACCTCGGTTTAAAGTAAAATGAATCGTACCAAGATTCGAACTCGACCTCGGCTTAAAGTAAAATGAATCGTACCAAGGTTCGAACTCGACCTCGGTTTAAAGTAAAATGAATTGTACCAAGGTTCAAACTCGACCTCGGCTTAAATTAAAATGAATCGTACCAAGGTTCGAACTCGACCTCGACTTAACATAAAGCATCTTATGGTAAAATGATGTAGAGTTAAGAGACTATGAATAGAAAAAGAATCAGTCATTTTATTAATATTGTGGGTGTGCCTTGTTAAAAACCCTCTCAGCCAAAACCCATCTTTCTGTTTTTTAGGACAAAAGACTGAGGCGAAAAAAGAGTGCACAACTCATTCTTACAATTTCAACTGAAGTAGAACTTGAGATGCGTGGCATTCCAAGTTCTGGGGATGGCTTTGCCGCTAAGCTCTTCTAGACGATACGCCCCATTTTCTAGGTTTTCTGTGATCCGGAATGGACCATCCCAGTTCGGTGCAAGTTTTCCTTCTGATGAATCTCTACGGGCATCTCCTAGTAGTCGCCAGACCAAGCCGCCAACCTTGAAAGAGCGAGGTCAGACTCGCGTGTTGTACCCAACAAACGATTCCTGATGAAAACGGCTATGATTTTTCGGAACTCTCAAGTACATAGTTCCTTGGAAATTCGGTGTACTTCTCCCATTGAGAAGTTGTGACTTGGTGTAGCACTTGAAATGGTTCTCACCATCATTGTACGAGTACTGAAACCCCTTACAATTGCAATCTTCCAAGCACAAATTCTCACAATAGGCTAAAGTATTCGGCTCAGAATAATTAGAATCATAGCCATAAATCTCAACCCCCGGCATCTCCAAGAAGCTAGACTCACTTCCATTGCAAGTGAAAACAAACAAGGGCTCACATCCATAAGACCAATCGCTATGATTCTTCACTCTATGCCCAGGAAGACACGAACACTTCCTTCCAACTTTAGCATCATAACTACACACACTGTTAGCCCCACAAATCCCATGGATGTTACACGTGTCAGCCCTAGCTTGCCACGAAACAAACCACCTATTTGACTCATCATCACGCATGGTATACACTCTTAGGTTGCCATCACAATCAATCTTCAACCTTCTCTTGTTCACAACACCATAATCAGAAGTTTTGAAAGTGAAATCATCGGATGAAAGGAATCTTCCGAGTGAATCCAACGCCGCAAATCTACTGCTATTGTAAGTGGACCTTCCAGCGTCCCAACTTACCAGCCACGGGTTTGGCCAGTAAACGCTGGAAACATCAGGGCCATCGTAGATAAGACGAAGAACGTTGTCATCGTCGAAGAAGAGTTTGTAGAAACCGGAAGAGTGGTTACTCTCGCTTCGTGAAGACACGAGTTGCGTGTGTCGCGTAAGAGGTTGACCCGGAAGGAGAGTGTGAGTGGGGAAGTCAAAGCTTTGCCACAGAAGAAGAGAATTTCCTCCTTGAAACTCATGCAACACGAGGTTTCCATCGTCTTTCAGACGCAACTCCGTTAGGGCTAATGAAACGGTGTTTGAGGACCACACGTTTTGTTGACCTGCGTCGAATAATACGAGGTTACCCGTTTGTAAGAGGGAGAGCTTGGAGCGTTTTCCGTTAACGGGGTTTTCACGGTTCGCCATCCACACCATTGTGGGGTGGGAATGAGTTTGAGTTTGAGTTTGTGTGAACCATATGGCGAAGGTGTAGGCGTTTTCACCGATGGCCACGAAGCCAGCGGAGAAAACGGCGTTTGGGGAGACGATAACGTCGTTCGGTTTTTCTACGGAGAGGGATGAGCCCTTGGTGAGTGATGAAGAAGAAGAGTGTGAAGCGTGGAAAGAGAAAGCGAGTAGAAATAGTAAGATTGTGGAAGCCACGTTCATCATGCAAATTAATACACAATATGGGTGTCTTGGCCTTATGTACTGTCATGGTGTACATGTTATATATAGATCTCAAATATCTTTTTATTCTTTTAAATTTTTAAATTTTTAAATTTATTTTTATTTTTTTTTAAATTTAACATTGGTCTTCATTTCTGTAATTTAAAAAAAAATATTTTAATTTTTATATCCAAATTTTATTAGAAAATCTTTCAAATATTTTTTTATAAAATTTATTTATTAGTGTTTGTATTAGTAAAAATATCACATTAAATTTATTTAATATTACGTAATTGTCTCGATGTATCATTTTCATATATGTTCTTAGTGATTTAAAAAATTATAATAATTTTTAAAAATTACGTAATTAAAAATAATAATTTTAAATTTAAGTGATTAAAAATAAATTTATTTTAAATTTAATGAATTAAAAATGTATTTAAATTTATAGATAAATAATTATTGACTTAGGTTGACGGACTTCGTGTTTAATTTGTAAGGTCTGCGTCAAAACTCGCGAAATTGGAAACTGGTAATTGGAGAATTGTAGTCCTAGCCATGTAGCACACGGTATGGAATTAAAACGATGGTAGAAATTCTAAAAGTTTGGTATGAAACGATGAAAGTGTTCATAAATTACTCAAAAAAAATTATATGTAGTTATGTTCCTTGCATCTTCTCTTTTAAAAATTACTTTCTAGAAAATAGTATGAGTTTATTTTGAAAAGTATTATACAAAATGATATATTTATTTCATAATATATTTTCTAAAATCGTTTATCTGTTCTAAAAAGTATTTTTTGTAAAATGATATATTGTTCATAAACTACTTTCTTGAATATTATAGATATTTGTTTTGGAAAGTGTTTCAAAATAGTATTTTATGTAAAAAAAATTATATTAAATAAATCATAATTAAGGAAGCAAATAGATGTAGAGTTTTAAGAATGATGAAAAAGAAAAGATTGCAAAACAAGTTATCTTGAGATGCTTTAGTTATAATACTATTTCAATTTTTGTTGAATCCACTGCAATTCTTTCAACTGAAATTACATGACCTAGAAACTTCATTTCATTTAGTTAGAACTCATACTTTGACAACTTGATAAACAATTACTTTTCTCTCAACACTCTAAAACTAACATAAGATGTTTTCATATGCTACTCCAGAGAGCCTAAATATATAAGAATATCATTAATGAATACAATCACAATCTTATCTAGGGCTGAAAATTCAATTCATTAACCCATGAAAATAGTTGGAGCATTGGCCACACCAAAGGACATCACCACATACTCATAATTAATGATCATACCGAGTCTTGAACATCGTCTTCAATTTGTCATCATCCTTCATTCTTATCTGATGATAACCAAATCTCAAATCAAACTCAAAGAACACTAAAACTCCTTTAAGTTGGTCCATCAAGTCATCTATCTAAGATAGTGAATATTTTTTCTTGATGGTCAACTTGTTCAATTGGTGGAAGTCCAAAGACAACCTTAAACCACTGTCCTTCTTCATTAGCAACACTAATGCTCCCTACAAAGACACACTTGGTCTGATCATCTATTTCTCCAAGAGATCTTCAACTTAATTAATTCTTCAGCTTAGACAAACTTAGTTGAAACCATCCTATAATAAGTTATTAACACTAGTATTGCACTTGAAACCAAGTCAATAGAGAACTTTGCCTCTCCCTTAGGAGGCAATCGTGGAACTTCACCTAGAAACACATAAGGGAAGCCATTGACCACATTAACTAGATGCAATATCTACTCATTCCCATCAATTAAAGAAGAGAAAAACATAGCACTGAGCTCTCTTTTACAAGAGATTATCCACTTTCTTGGCTAAAATTATCGTATCCTTCACAACATCAGGAAACATCAACTGCTTAGCATGATCTATCAAAATATTAGCATATAATCACATCCAACCCAAATAATGGAAAGCATATCAAGTTGACCTTGAGTCAAAAAAATATGAAAGAGGGTTCAACACTTGAGTCAAAAAGTACAAATAAGGAATTACCAGCAACCTCACACTTCTTTTTCACAAGATCATCAAACATGGAAACTTTAACTCCCATCAAGCCAAACACACAACCCATAACAATTGACCGCTCAATTCTTGGTTCACCTCTAGCCTAAGTAGTCTTGGCACAAGCTAGTCGTTAGTCAATTGACTAAACTTGTTGCATTAAAAGCACTCGAATTCCTTGGCTATACAATTTTTGATAAAGTGGACTCCACCACACCTATAACACGTCACACTACTTGACCAGAAGGTAACACTTACAAACAGTAGAACACAACTGAAATGGCTTAACAATAGAAACACAATGGGACCAACCCTATAGAGTAGTTCTCAAAAAGACTCAACCAACTATGGTGCTATAAAGTGTAACAACTCAACAGGCCATCGAATGAGTATAACAAACAAAACAATAAAAAAACATAAAAGAATACACTACCTTACCATGCAATATATATATATATATATATATATATATATATATATAGAGAGAGAGAGAGAGAGAGAGAGAGACATAAAACAGTTCTTGGATATATGACTAAAAATATAAATCCCCTAATGGTGATACAATCTCCCTGTCTACATATACAAATATGTACAAATCAAAAAACAAAAGCAAAATCCTAACACCATTCAAGGAATCTATACAAGTTACACTAGAGTAGCATCGAAACATAATCATTCACAAACATGACCACATTTTCCTCCAAGCAAAACCCTTAACCTAATATTGATCTCCTCTCATATCAAATATGATCATTGTAATCCAACACATGAAAACATAAGAGTAAGCTTGTGTACAAGGCATCAACATATACATGAAAAGATTATAAGCATCAACTTCCAATTTAAACAACACAACGATCAATATTCTATATGAACTATACAACTTATACACAACTTTCAACATACATAACTATGTAACTTAAAAAAAAACTTCACAAATCAAATTAAAATATGCAACTTAAAAACTTTAACAACTTATATGCATTATCAACTTTGAAGATCTCATACAACTTGTGAGCAGTTTAAATGGATTAACCCTACTAAACTTACAACATCTATCCCTTCTTTGGACCAAGTCAGAAACAATGTCAAACACTTTTTAGGACCAAGTTAGAATAAAGTTTGGCAATCAAGCTAGGTCAACAACTTTTGATGTCTCATATCACACCACTTAAATTAGGAAGATCGATCTAGTACTACCATCGAGATTTAGAACAACTTATTAGGAGCAAACCTAGCACGACATTGGTACGTATCAACCAGCCCTAATGGAATTAGCTTTTCGCCTATCGTTTAAATATCACACACCCTTCCAACACTCAATTAGGAATTTTAACCCCAACTTTGTGCCTGAATTTTTTGGTTATTTGTAGTAAGTATGACTTGACATGACCCTCATACAATTTTCAACTTAAAAACCTAGAGGTGTCAAATTTTTAAAAAACAACTTCCCTACAAGGGTATATTTATAACTTAAAACAACTTAATTTTCCTCTAGTTCTTCAACTTTCAACTTTAGAAAACATGCACAACATGTACAATCCACAACTGAAACAACTTCAAGAATTTTCTACCATTCAACTTAATCAACATACAACTTAATTTATATAACAATTTTCTCATAATTGGTTACTTTCCAACTCAACATCATATAACTATATAAAATGATGGAATAGACTAGTTGAAGTGATTAAGAACATGGAACCAAACTCCTTGGAGTTTGAATGAAGCAACTAAGGTAGCGTGGCAATCTTCTTGAAGAAGAAGAAGAAGAAGAATCCGAAACCTAGGCACAAAGGAAGGATTCCTTTGTGAAGGTTCTTAAGGAGAAGGTGTTCTTCTAAGTTTGGACCTTTGAAAATATAGAGAATTTTATGAAAATTTTGATCTCATAAATGTTAAGCCTCATTTATACATATGTTTAGATAAGAATTATTGAACAATTCCACTCACCTCATGCACTCTTGTAACATAATTTTTCTTTTGATTCATTTTTTGTGCAGATATAGCTAACCCAAAATTTATCTAACAATACCTTGATACACCTCATTTTTTGTGCAGGTATTGAGTTAGAGAATTGAGGATAGAAGACCCATAGGATTGGAAATTTAAGGAGCTAAGGAGCAGGAAAGAGTACCTACGCCGGGTGCAGACTACCCGTGTCGGGCGCAATTCAAAACAGAGAGCACTCAAAACTCTCTGGAAGACATTACGCCGGGCGTAATCATATCCTCGTCGGGCATGATTCAAAACAAAGAGTAATTCCCTCCCTGGAAGACCCTATGTCGGGCGCGAAGTATAACATGCTGGGTGCGTAAACCCTATCCTTCCTCCTCCAGCTCGTATTTGATCAAGTCTTCGAGGATTTTTCCCTCATTCACACATTGGGCGACTTCTAGGAGCTGAGGAAGGGATTCCCGGTGCTTGGGACCGTTCGTGTGTGGGTCTTTCCTTCGGTTCTTCCATATCTCTTCCATCTCTATTTTTGTTTCACCCTCATTGTTTTGAGCGGTTCTACCCATTATTTTATGGGGTTAGATGTAACCAACGATACTCTTATGTAATCCTTACATTTTTAATGATATATATACATGTTGTTTCATTCATTGTTGTGTATGTTTCTATTCTTAATGCTTGCTTTGAATTGATTCTCCTTTGCTTGATATAGAGTCTATTGGGTATTGGAAAATAGCCTTTTGAACTAGCTTTGAAACAAATACCTAGTGGGAAATGTATCTAGGAATGGAGCTTGGCCCATTAGTAGTCTTAAACCCTAACCCGTAATGCAGGTGTATGTATTGGATACTCAAGGAATTGATATTCATTACTTGCACCTAGGCTCTTGCTCTAAGGGATTAGGTTTGAGGAAACTTATGGGTTGACTAAGCAATAAATGTAACAAGAGATTAAATATTTATCAGTGTGTAGTTCGGTGATATCTGACCCCACAACCTTACAAAATA